TCATAAATTGGTCTTAAATTGTTGAATTGAAGCTTGAATCATGCATGCATGTGCGTATCTTGAAGTTTAGAGTTGTTTTCATGGAAATTATTGCATGCATGTCCATATTATTGTTATAATCCATGAATTCACCATGTTTTTGGAAGGATTGGCTCATTTGATCTTGATTTTGAAGCTTTAAATTCATATAAGCTCATGCATGTTACATTTGAGTCTTGTTCTTGAAGTTTATTTGAAAATGGTGTTTAATTGAACTACCTTTGGGTTTTGATTTCTCAAATTGATCTTCAAAACATGTTACACTATGAGTTTACAAGTGTTTTCCAGAAAATTAGCCCAAAATGATCGATTTTGGTACATTTAAAGTTGATTTTGAACTTGAAGGTTCAATCTGGAATTTCCAGAATTTGGACTCACGCTCGAGCAGGGAACTCCACGCTCGAGCGTACAACCTGTGTTCATGCAGTCCGCTTGAGTGGGGAAAGTGATGCTCAAGTGGGAAATGCGTGTATCTAGTACTTTGCATGTGTTTACAGTCCGCTCGAGCGATGGAATGCACGCTCGAGCGAGGACTTGTGTCTCATGCTCAAGCGGAGGTTGAGCGCCCGTCGAGCGTGAATTTTGTGCATCCAGTACTTTTGCAGTCCGCTCGAGCGAGGAAATTCACGCTCGAGCGAAGCTCTTTTATCTGCATGTCTGCTCGAGCATAGAAAGTCACGCTCAAGCGGGACCCCTGTTTCAGCAAAATTTTGGAAAGTGTTTAAAAGTGCATCTTTGCATCCTCATTCCATCCTAGGCATTCTTAGGCCTAATTTAAGGCATCTTAATGAGGATATTGATCTAGAACCACACCGAGTCTAAGTAGAGACTAAGTCTTCGATTCCCTAGTATGTGACTTAGTGTGTGTTCATCCTGTAACTGTGCAGGGTTGGCATCCGAGGACGCGCACTAGCTTATTTGTAGCCCAGAACTCTGTGAGTAATAATGTGTAAAGATATGTTCAATTGAGATTATTTTCTGAACAAATGACTGTACTACTTAATGAAACGACACTATTTACTTAATGAATGTTTGTCCTATTTACGAACTGTATTCGTGGCATACATATCAATTTACTATTACTGTACTGTACTGCTACTGTCACAGAGATCTCTGTCGATCCCCATGTTGGAACCATTACTGTTTACTCATATGATGGCCATCAATTGACTGTTTGGTTTATTAAGACCTATTGTACTGTTTGCTATTAGATGTGCTACTTATGACTGCTATGATCGAATAACTGATATACTGTTCAAATAACTGTATTAAATACTGAAAGGACATTCATTCTTAACCTCTTTACGCATATGTTATTCACTGGGTTTTAGCTTACTATATATATTTATATGTAGATGTCCAGGCACCGGATCGGAGCTAGGAGCGTTGGGGTTAGGCTCCCTTTTTGTCAAGCCAACCAACGTGCCTCACTGCGAGGTTCCTTGTGTGTCCAAGCAAAGGCTGCTTCGGGATGTTTTAGTTTCCCCCTTTCTGTCTCTGTATTGTATAGACTGTTTAGACTTGTACTGTACTGTTACAGTAGGGATTTGGTTCCTAACCTGAATGTTTGTATATGTATGTATATACTGTTTGGTTCTGAATGTGAATACGTACGAAAGTCTTTTTTTTTTGCATACAGACTGTCACAGCTCATTGAACATCTTTTATTACTGTTTTGGCTTCCGCCAGCCCCTGTACTCTGTATTACTGTCTTTACTGTTAAGCAGGCTTTCGGTAATCACGGATTACTGGCCGGTTACGGTGCTAAACCCATAGGAGCGGGTTTGGGTCGTGACATACATTCAGATCTGAATAGTGTTAGATTTGTTGTGCTTTTTTGAGCAAGTAAGGAAACTAAGGCATAGATTGGGAAGTTGGTTTTGGTGGGTTAGGGGCTAAAATAGCCACAAAAAACAAAATAGGCTATTTTAGCCACAAAAAACAAAACATCAAATCCAATCCATAATCATTACACTCCTCAGAAAAGTCAAAAAGTCAAAAAGCCCTTCCCAAACCAGGCTTTTTAGCCCCAGGCTAAAATAGTCAAAAAGCCAAAAAGCCAATCCACTTCCCAAACGGAGGCTAAACAACAATAGCCTTACTAGATCCATTCCAGACACTTTGTCCAAAGTTAAAGGTCTTACACTTGTGTAAGTGTTCGCCCCTCTTCACTTTATTTTGTGTAGAATATTGGAGGAGACCTCAGAAATATCTTTTTCATCTTATGTGAATATTGCTGGCAGAGACCTTTCTTTCAACAACCTCAATAGTTCCGTGCCAAAAATTGCTGCACAAACTTTCAAGTGAGCTGTCCCTAAATTGTTCTCACATTGCTCAGTTCTTTACTTATTTTTTTAATTGATGAAGTTCTCATGCACTTCTCTCTGCTTTTAGTATAATTGGCAAATGATGATGTATCTCACAAATTGTGTTTGGATTTGGATCTGTGTTCTGGATTTGGGTCTTCATTCACTGATTTTTTTTTTGCTAGGGAATTTTTGGGGTCAAGGAACCCCATCTCTGTTAGGGAATGAGGGCGGGGGCAGTGATAGGTTTCTTGTCGGGGAATCAGGGACGAGAATGAAGGAATTTGCACCATCGGGGATCGGGGATTGGGGGTGTGATCTCTATCCCCACCCTGGCCCGTTGCCATTCCTATAACAACACCATATTCACAGAAACACACACTATTTACTCAATAAACCTAATTTTAGCAACAACGTAAAAAAAAAAAAAAACAAAACGAAGAAAGGAAAAATATAAAGAAAAAAACGAATGAGAAACCCAATCTTACTATGAAGAATGAGGAAAAATCTCAATATATATACATGGAAACAAAACTCAAATGTTAAAGGGATTGGAATCATTAATCTTCTCATAAAGTATATAGATTTTGGTAAAATAGACTAATCCATTAATTAAGGTAGATTGATAATAATTTCTCACTCTTACTTAAAGCTATTTTATGAGATGGAGAAATAGATTAATTAAAAAATTAATGATAGTGTAGAGTACGACAAAAATCTATAAAAACTTAAATAATACATTTTTGATGCACTCTAATTGGATGATATTTTCAAAGGTAAAATGTAAAGTGATTTTTTTCAGTATTTTTTAAATTTTTAGTTAAAATATGAAATAAAAAAAATAGAATAAATTATAAATATATTCATGAGATTTGTTTAAAATACAGAGTGCCTCCAGTGATTTAAAAAATTACAAATACTCTTTATTAAAATTTTTTAGGGTAAATTACATTGACACCCCTTGAGGTTTAGTCTAATTACTATCCACCCCTTGACGTTTTAGAAATTACATTTTCACCCATGTGGTTATTAGTTTTATTTCACAAATCCCTACTTATATAAAAGGTAACAATTCCTAATAGAAAAGCAGAGAAAATTACATTAAAAAAAAAGAGTAAGGGAAAGGCGAAAAAAAAGAGAAAGCAAAGCAAAAAAAGAAAAAGAAAAGAGAGTATATGAGTTCAATGTCTTCATTCTGTCTAAATAATTATAATAACATGGGGGTTAGTGTAATTTTTCAAACGTCAAGAAGTAATATGTATTAAACTCAAATCTCAGGGGGTGTAAGCTTAATTTACCCAATTTTTTATTTAACAACATTAACTAAAAAAATGAAGTTCCTAACTACTCTTCTATTCAATGACAAAATTACCTAAATTATTAATTAAAATAAATTTACAACATCATTAAAAATGAATGGACTTTATAATTTATTAATAAAATGAGTTATTTATTATAAAATTAGAAACTTCAAAAGAGGTGATATAATTTTCAAAACCACATGTGATAAATCGTATTTTAAATAAATCTCAAGAGTGCGTTTGTAATTTACCAAAAAAATTTAACATGTTAAAAATAATTTTTTTTTAAAAAAGGTACAAATAGTAGTGTAAAATTTATTTTTTGGATAAACTATCAATAGGTTTTAATAACTGAACTTAATTCTCATCAAATTTTATTGAAAATAAGTTATAGTAAAATCATTGTTAAAAATAATTTTGCGACAATATTTTACATATGTCGTCAAAAATTGACAATCAATGACTTTTTTTTTTTCCATCACTAAAACATACAATTAGTGACTTTTTTGTGATGATTTTATTAAATTGTCGTTAAAACTTATAATTAGTGATTTTTTTGTGACAATTTTTAAACTGTCGCGAAAAATTAATAATTAGTGAAATTTTTTAATAGTGTCTGATGAAAAATGTCATAATTCTCATAGGATCTATTGAATAATAAATTCACCCATTAGGACGCACACGTAAATCTCCTTATTTTTTTGACTTTTTATTTTATTTTATTAGTATATAAATTTAAAAATTTTAATTTTTTAATAACTTTTTCCGTAAAAGCCGTGCAACACTAGTTGGACTACGAGTGTAAACGGTTCGGTTCGGTCGATGTTAGGAATATATTTAATATCAAATATATCTTTTTAATTTTTATGATTGAGAAATCGATACAAATTCTATGCTATAGTTTGCTTTTATCAATTTTGTCGATTTGATACAAAAGAAAAATTTATATGAAATTTCAAATTTTTTTTAAAAATTTTACATTGAAAATAAATAAAAAAAATATATGAAAATTGCTCTATATATATTACATTAATTACTTCTTAAAAAAAATGATGATATAAAAATATTTAAATATAATATTCAATCGATTTAGGCTTCATTTGAGAAGCAAAAGTTGAGATTTTTTAGTTCAATAAAACAGAACATCACATCCAACTCATAATCATTATATTTTTTCTCTTATAAAAAAATTAAAAAAATCTAAAATCATTTTCAAATCAAATTTTTTAATTTCAAATTAAAATAATTAAAAATATCTAAAAGTAAAAAAACCGACCTACTTCCAAAAACGAATCCATAATTTACATCTATAAAAAAACTTTAAAACTGAAACCGATTATGATATGAAAAATCCCTGTTTGGAACTGTTCATAATATCCGATAAGCCCCTCTTTCTTTATCTCTCTTCGAAACCCCCCATTACATTTCACTCCCACACAGAGCTCTGGCTATGGCTTCCATGTCGATGGACATAGCCACTACTTTCATCGGACTAGCCAAGCTTCAGACCACCCCACGCTCCAGGGTTCGAGCCTCTGTCTTCCCTCTCCTATGGAGATCCAAATTTCGCAACTCTCACAGTCTCCGAACCATCTCTATCCAACCCAGAATCGTCTCTATTGACTTGTCCAAATCAAACCCATTCTCTCGCCGGTTCACGGCGGCGGCCGCCACGGCGACGCCGCAGACCGACGGTTCCGATGTTTCCACGAAAATTCCGCCCGACGACAGAGTTCCTGCTACTATAATCACTGGGTTTTTGGGTTCTGGAAAGGTCAAAATTTTCATCCTTCGAAGCTTTATTTTTTATTTTTTATTATCAATTTTAAAGCTATTTGATTATTTGATTGGTTCGATACTGTTTTTATGCCCAATTTGTTGGTAAATGTTTTGAAAAATAAAAATAAAAATTGGGTAAAGCGTTTGGCATTCGGGTTTAATCACAGCTTTATGCCTTTTCACAGCAGGATTGTGGCGTTTGGTGAGAAAATAAAAGAAATAGAGAGATATCTTCTCATCACTTGTTTGGATGGTTGATTAAGTAATGAGTACTTATGTGAAAGGAATAGAAGTGGTACTCATGTTTTGTTTCTCACCTTCGTTTGAATCGTGAGATGAGAAAATGAGGAATAAAGAAATGATTGTAGTTTCACTTTTGTTGAGATGAACAATGATTAAAAGAGGATATGTGTGCTTTTATTTTATTTGCATTATATTTGAAGGGGTAATTTAGGTATTATAAATTGTTTGTAAAGAGTTCTTTTAGTTTCTCACCAAATCTTACCATTTGGGTTAGAAACAAAACTTACGTTTGCAGTGATTTGTCTCTCACCAATTTTTTTTTTTCATGTCTTACTATTACTCATCTCATTAGTTATCCAAACAAGTGATGAGACATTCTCAATTTATTTTATTTTTCTTACCAAACCCTTCCATCCAAACAGATTGCAAAAGTGGTGAAAACCAAAGTTGCCAAATAGTTTATTTATTTAAGTTATAGTAATATCTAAATTATTTCTCTGAAGTCTAAATGTAAAGCAAATAAAATAAAAAGACGCGTGTGTTATCTTTATTTGTTGTTCATCCAAATAAAATGGTAAGAAACCACTATCATTGCGTCTTTTTTTTTTCACGTAAATGAGAAACCATAGTTGTTAACATTTCTTTTCTCGCCTACCAATCAAACAGAGCTTTAGTGATGTTTTAAGAAACATAATTTGCAAACATGGTATTTAAAAGTTGCAAACTACCCTATTTTGGTTCTGAACTCACCACTTTATGGCACAAGAATGTGGGTACTGATGATGGTGAAGCACATTCAAATGATGAATTTATTGTTGTTTTATACTTTTCGGTTCTTGGGATACCATTTTTGAGGTAACAGCGTGGAAATATTAGAATTTTAATTCTGAATTTGCTAATGGTTAAATGTACTTGCTTCTAACTTCAACTGTTTGACCATTGTTATTTTATCAAACTAATTAAATTTATATTGAAACTGATAGGGTGTTACTTCACTTATTGACCTATTTCTTATGATTTTTAAACAGACAACTTTATTAAACCATATCTTGACTGCGGATCATGGCAAACGCATTGCAGTGATTGAGAACGAGGTGTGGGTTTGAATACTTTAGTGTTAACTGTCTTGAGGAATTTCATCTGCATTCTGCAGTGTCTTATTGTTCATGATGGTTCGGGGTTGGTCGTTTACTCAGGAAATTTTGAATTTAAATTTTTATTTTTTTCTGCTCTAATTGTTTGATCTTTCTTAGTTGGTTTTTGTGTGTTGTGGCAATGCATAATTCTTGCTATTTGTTGTATTTGCAGTATGGTGAAGTAGACATAGACGGTTCTTTGGTTGCAGCAAAAGCTGCTGGGGCTGAGGACATTGTTATGCTCAATAATGGGTGTCTCTGTTGTACAGTGAGAGGTGATCTTGTGCGGATGATTGCTGAATTAGTCGATAAGAAAAAAGGGAAATTTGATCATATTGTAATTGAGACTACAGGTAGTGAAGATTTATTCAATATGGCATTTGTTCACATTTAGCTAGATGCATTGGACTTCTCTGGTTGTCATTGTGGCTCATATGTTTTGTTGCAATTTTGCAGGATTAGCAAATCCGGCACCAATCATTCAAACATTTTATGCTGAGGATCAGATTTTTAATGAAGTTAAGCTAGATGGTGTAGTCACTTTGGTTGATGCCAAACATGCTGATTTTCACCTGGATGATGTTAAGGCAAAGGGAGTGGTCAATGAAGCAGTAGAACAAATTGCTTATGCTGACCGTATTATAGTAAACAAGGTACAAAATTTCACATCTTTATGCACTGTGTGTTAGTTGAAGGATTCTTGGACGACTAGTCTGTATTATTCCTTTTTGGTTTAGTTTAATTAAGACCCCTTTCTTTACTCTGATGGATCACTGAGCACAGCTAAAACAAACACCATTCAGCTACCACAAATAATCCGGACTGTTGAACACTGGTCCATTCATATCTTCTTTGTGGGTTTTAAATTAATTGCTCAGTTCCCGGCCCATTTGGTGTGGCTACTAGGCTTAACTCATGAAATGCTGTGTCAGCCCTTAAAAGCAACATGCTACCAATTTCAGTAATCTTCTGTTTGGTCGGGAACTAAATTATTGTAATTGGAAAAAATCTTTGGTTTTGGTAATCCCGAGCAAAGGAGCTTCCTTTTGAGCCTGTAATTGTTAAAGTATGATCACTTAAAAAGGGAACATATCTATAGGATGCAGCTTTTTCTTTCTGAGTTGATACTTCTCTCTCTCTCTCTCTCTCTATATATATATATATATATAAAACTAACTAATTTGTTTTACCATGGTTCTGCCAGACTGATCTTGTTGGTGAGCCAAACATTGCTTCTTTAATTCAGCGGATAAGGGTTAGTACACTCACAAATTGCTTATTTTGACATGTCTATAGTTTTCTGTTTTTTTGTTTAATTTTGAGTCTAAACTTTGATGTTAAACTGGCTGAACACAGAGCATAAATCGTATGGCTCATCTGAAGCGGACCCAGTTTGGGAAAGTTGATTTGGATTATGTTCTTGGGATCGGAGGCTTTGATTTGGAGAGGTTATAAAACTTTCGATCTTTGTCTTAATTTACTGAATTAGGCTCATAACCTTTTGTTGTATAGCATTGTTTACAAATAGAGTTACTATCAATTTGATGTACTATGTCATTACATGATACAAAGCTTTGTAGTTTCAGCTTGTGATGACTTCTTTGTTCTTTGTTTCCTTTTTGAGCTCATATATTAATGTTTCGATGATGAGCTTACTTTTGTTTGACCCTTGCCAGAATCGAAAGTGCTGTCAACACTGAAGGTTCAAAGGAAGATCATGGTAGCCACGATCACGATCACGAACACGAACACGATCATGAACACCACCATCTCCATGACCACAAACATGGTAAATTGCATTTGATCTTTGGAAATATCTGTGATAGACCAAATTTTATCCATTGACTGGCTTGTAGCACCCATTGACTTGGTTGAGGATGCTCTGCTTGAGCACACTGTCTCTCCCTCTTGGTTGACATGCTTGATGCCCCCTCAATCTAGTAGGGCAGCTTGACCGAGCATGTTCTAACTTCTCCAGAATTGTGGGCTTGTTCCTTAGCTGAGCAGCCCCTGTCCATTATGCTTGCTTGGTCTCCTTGCTTCACTTAGATGACACAACTGAGCAACATCCTAATCTCCTACACACTTATAGTTCTAGGAAGAGTATCTTGATGACAACCAGCTAGGCTGGAAGTAGGGAACACCAATGTTGGGATATGTGGCTTGGAGGATAGAGTTAAGGGATCGCCAATGTTGTTCGGTTTGCCTCCTTAGGGTTAGCCCCACCTTGACCAGCCTTATAGTTTGTTTGGATTTAGTGATTTGGAGAGAAAAGAAAAGAAATGGAGAGAAATAGGTTTCGATCCCTTGTTTGGATTACCAAATACGAGAGAAATGGAGAGAGACACATTACTCATATAATCCCTATTTTCAATCTCTCCAAAAGTGGAGAGAAATGAAACAACTAAATAATATTTTGTTATAATACCAAAAGTACCCTTTTAGCTATAGAACAAATAAAAAGACAGACACATATAAAAAGGTTAATTTGGTAATATAACATTATATCATTTCATTTCTTTTCTTTTATATAACTTAACCAAGCAAGATAGGAGAGAAATCACATCATTTCTTTTCTTTTCTCTCTTATCTGTCCCAACAAAATGGAAAGAAATTACAATCTTTTCTTTTCTTTTCTCTTATAAGTTATAACTTACCTAATCATTTCTTTACTTCTCTCCTAAATTACCAAACATAGTGTAAATATGGCATTCCCAAAAATTTTGCAAAGCCCATTCTGTGTAAGGATTTCTCTTCAAAATTTAATGGGTCATGTAATGACCCTAAAAAATTTAATCCGGCCTTTGGTTTAAAAACCATCGGTAATCACATGTTAAAAAAAACTTTCAATAAACAAGAAATATAATCTACTATTTTTTTTTTTTTTTGTAATTAAAAATATAGTCTATTGAAATCATATTAAAGAACAAAAATTTCTCAAATGAGAATAGAATTTGTTTCTTATGTGGGATATTATAGTTTCTTTATTTGGACCACTTGTGAAGCTTTATGAAGCTGAAAACATTGAGTATGAGTAATAGTCAAGTAATCACATAGGCTAATGAGAGTGAAGCATGTATAGGTTGAGGCTAGTCTTCTATAGTTCTTTATTACACTAATTAGCCTATATCTAGTAATATTTTAATAATTATTCAATCTAGGTTGAGACTAGCCTTCTATAGTTCTCCAATGGAAGAGTCCTGGCTCCGTCCTATGCACACGTGGCAAAATTTGCTATTCTACACAGTGGATTTTATTGTTTTAATCCATGATTGATTATGTAGGAAATATGTTGAAGTGAAGACCAAATATCAACGTAATTTTCTGCCAAAGAACTTGTATCAGTTCCTTGAACTTCTCTCTCTCTCTCTCACTCACACACACACACACAAACACACACACACAAACACACACACACACACAAACTCACCATTTACACACTACATGAACATACGCTAGTTAATCATTTATTATTTTTAAACTTTTTTCTTTGGGGTGGTTTTCTGTGTGTTTTTATATTAATTTTACAGAGCATTAAGTCAAACTTTGCCGCTTTAATTCAATTCCTAAACAGATATTTCTGGTGATTTGATACATACCAAGAAAAGGATTACTTATTTTACCATTCCAGCTTTCAGTCAGTTGTGATTGTAATGTGACACATGTTACCACTCTTCTACTTGTAGTAATGGTACAACGAAATCTTAATGTCTTCACTACTAATGCAGAGCATCATGATGACCACCATTCCCATGATCACATTCATGATCCTGGAGTTTCTTCAGTCAGCATAGTTTGTGAAGGGAGCTTGGACCTTGAGAAGGTTAGCTTTGATGTTTCAGCACATACAATAGTTTTGTTTTGCAGTTTTTATCATAATTAGGTTCTACGAGTCCTAGGAGTTACATTTATTATTATTATTATTTGGGTAAATTACAATTATCACCCTCAAACGTTCACCCTAATTTCATTTTGGTCCCTCATTTGTTAATTGCAACAGTTAAGTCCTCGTATTGGAACTTGTGTTTCAATGTGGTCCTTCTGTCACCTCACCGTTTGAAATTTGAATGAAAATTGAAACATAAGGGATCAAAGTGAAATTTGAATGAAAGTTGGAGGGTGAAAAGTGCAAATTGTCATACAAAATTTTTCCTCTAATACCCCAAAATGTGATCGGAGTGAAATTTAAATGAAAGTTGGAGGGTGAATAGTGTAAATTTTTATACAATTTTTTCTTTCTAATACATCTAAAATGTGCTCATGTGGTCCTTACGTAAGCACTTTCCTTACAACTTTTTTAACGATAAGCGACAGGAGGACTACATTGAAATGTGAGTTAAAAATGGGGACTTAATTGTTGCAAATAAAAGATGAGGGACCAAAATTAAATTAGAAATGGAAGTTCGAGGGTAAAAAGTGTCATTTACCGTTATTATTATTATTATTTGGGTTAAAAACTAATAAATGATAATGATGGACTAAAAAGAGCTCTCTTGTTTAATTTTCAGGCTAACATGTGGCTGGGTACATTGTTGTTGGAACGAAGTGATGACATATATAGGATGAAAGGTCTCCTATCCGTTGAGGGTATGAATGAGCGATTTGTCTTTCAGGTGATTAGACCACTCTCCAATTGCTAATGTTTTAAGCTCATTTATTCTCTCAATAATCTTTGTTCTTGACTGCTGAAAAGCCCCCTATGATATATATTTGTTTCAGAATCTACTTGTGGTGTAACTTTCAAAAAATAAAAAAAGAAAGTGCTTGTGATGTCAAGTTTATCAAATTTATCTTAGTAACTATAGTCTGCTATGTTATTCGGATTCACGTTACATCTCTTGGAAGACCCTTAAGCTAAGAGTCCTATTTTATAAATTTTTTTCCCTGCTTCGACATTGAACTAGACATTTGACCAAACTTGAAGCAAACTAAGTCCAATAAAAGCCATATGTCTGTTTTTTGGTGCGGTCTGTCTCAATTTTTAGCATTGCTTGTAATCTAGCCTGAGTTTGTTCCATCTGAACTTCTCTGCTTATGCTGCCATCATTCCCTTCCACCTTAATGTTTCCTCAATCTCAAACTTTTTGTTTCAAATTTAACTGTATGTTCTATGTTGATCCTAGATGAGTGACTATTTATCTTCTCATGGATGTGTAATATTTCCAGTGTTATTCACTTGGTCTGTGCCAACATTTAACTCAACAACCTTTAGCCAGAAATTGTTTTTCATTTTTATTTGGTGCTTTCGATTTCTTTATATAATTTTATTCCTACTTATTTACTTCTGAGAAATTAGTTAGTTTCTCTTAATATATATATATATATGTTTTTTTTCAACTTAGCTGCTACAGGAGTTTATTATTGACGGATTTTTCTGTACCGGTGTTCATCTAACAGGGAGTTCATGATATATTCCAAGGTTCACCTGATCGGTTGTGGGGTCCCGATGAACCAAGAACAAACAAGATTGTGTTCATAGGGAAGAACTTGAATGCACAAGAATTAGAGAAGGGTTTTAAGGCTTGTTTACTGTGATCCTATCTAGCAATTAGCCATTGTGAATTTCTTATGGGTGAATTAAATTGTATGGCTATTTGAGTGGTACTTTTTGCCACTTGGGGTGTAAGTTTTAGTATGCAAGTAATTATTCCACTCAGTTTTTTTTGAAGATGACGTGACCGAGTTCTTTATTTACTCTTTATATATATATATATATATATATATATTTTTATGAAGGAAAATTAACTAATGCAAGATGTAAGGTCAATTCATTTTGTGATTCACATGGCTGTCTTGAGATTCTCACTACTTTGTGCGATTCAGAGTGCATTGGTGACGGTGATTTTGGGGAGAGGATGACATGAATTGCCAGCCATTGTGGTGTCTCTTGATACCAAAAAAAAGAAGGGACAAATAGTTAGCAGCTATGGCATGAAACTCATAACATGCGCTCTCTTATAAGGTGTGATGTCTAGGTTTGAATCTTATCATTGCATACACTGTCAACAGACTTGCACATTAAAGATAAGGTGGAGCCTGAAGAGTTTATTTTTAGAGTAGTGTAGCGCCGAGAGGTTAGAGCAAAAGTGCACTTGACTCTAGTGTAGTGCGTGTAAGGTCTTCACCGCCTCTGTTTTGAGATCATAGAGACGGGCCACATTTTTAAGGTAATGCCTGAAGTCTGTTGAGAGTAGAGCGTGTTAATTTTTGTGACATGTTGTGTGCTTAACCGTTGAGGGTCCAAAAGATATTGGCCATGTTTGTTTGGGCGGACTGGATTAGTATTCTCATGACTAATAGTCTTAGGATTACGAATCCGTTAGATTATGTATCCTATCTTAACTAATAGTCAAGTTTAAAATAATTAGTCCGTACCTTAATTGTTTAACCAAATATCGGATTAATAATTTGATTGGACTATTAATCTAATTTCAAGCTCATGTCCACCCAAACAAACATGGCCATACAGTTCAAAGTGAATCATGATCTTCTCCATTATACATTCTATGGCTATAAAATAATTATGTTATTTGTTTATTATTTCAAATTATGGAAATGTATTACATCTATTGGGATAGTTTTTTCACAACCGTTAGATTATGTAATGAAGAAACCACAAGGTTCCTCTCCTCTTTACTTTCCTCACAAACGTGTAATGGAGATAGGATCTCAATTCGTTAAAAGTAAACCGGATTTGGAAATAAAAATAAAAGAGTAGGCCAAAAAATGTGAGCTCCTACGCTATATGGCTTTTTGATGTTGCCATATCTTGCTTGGAGGCAGATTTTTGAAAAACCGATATACTTTTGAAAATTAGATTATTTATTTTTTTAGGAAATAATTGTAATAATTTAACGTAAATATGATTATTGAATCGATTTGATTTTTTTCATGAATAATCTATACGTTGTGGTGGTTTAAAAAATGAATGATTCAGATCATTGAAACGAGACCTAAGCCCCCACAAGCCTAAACGGTCTAATTGACAAAATGAATCGAAGATAAACTGTGATATTTCATTCATTAGTGGATGCAAAAATCCTATTAAGAAAGAGTCAAATATATATAATAAAAATTTAACTGTGAAATTTATCTAATCACATTATTACAAAAGTTTTGCCCGTATTTTGTACTAAAATATTCATTTTTATAATCACAATTTGTTTATTTTTTCGTTTGTAAATGTCTATTGATTGAAAAAATTTAGTATACTTCTTTTAGACATTGTATAAAATATATGATCAAAAAATAATATATAAATATTATTTTCACATTGAGTGCAGTCACACTGAGTTGTAATTAACACAAATTAAAGTCAAAGCCAAAGACCATTTTGGTCATAACTAAATTTACCATAGTGAGCCGTAACAAATAGTATTTTGAGAACAGTTCAAAAAAAAAAAACAAAAAAAATACTATTTTGAGACATAATAAAACATGATAGAGAGAGCTGTTAAGATGTGCACCTCATTAAATAGTACACATCATGTGCATATTACTTTTAAACCGTTAGATATTTACAAATTCAAAAATGCTAGAGGCCCCAAAAATTCTACCAAAAGTTTTACCAAATGTCTCACATGGGTGTGGGACCCACATGGGACCCACATTGTGTGGGTCCCACACCCATGTGAGACATTTGGTAAAACTTTTGGTAGAATATTTGGGGTCTCTAGCATTACTCTTACAAATTAATCTAAATTATTAAATAATTTGATTAGAAATATTGAATACCTCTTCAACCGGTTACATTTTTCTTTGGGTAACTATCCATAGATTTTAATAGTTTGACTTAATTCCCATAAAGTCTTATTAAAAATAAGTTCTAATAAAATTGTCGTTAAAAATAACTTTTTGTATTGATTTTTTTGTATAAAATTGACAATTAGTGACTTTTTTTATCACGATTTTTATAAATTATTACTAAAACTTATAATTAGTCACTTTTTTTGTGATGGATTTTTTAAACTACCGCTAAAAGTTATAAATTAATCACATTTTTTTTGTGACAATTTTTTTAAACTGTTGCTAAAATTTATAATTAAGAACATTTTTTGTGATAAAATTTTCAAATTGTCGCTGAAAATTAATAATTAGTGATATTTTTTTTATAATGTTTGATAAAAAACACCATTATCATAGAACCTATTGGACAATAAGTTCACTTATTAAAACATAAATGTAAGGTGGTGTTTGATAAAGTTAAAAATTGAAAACTGAAGATTGAAAATTGAAAATTAACTATTGAAAACTGAATGTTAAATTTATTAAGTTAAAAAGCTGTTTGATATAAGATCAAATTTAAAATTTATTATTTTCAAATTGTACATTTTAATTTTTATATTGTGCTGGTGGTGGTGATAGTGGTGGCGGTGGCATAGTGGTGGTGGTGGTAGTGATGGTAGTGGTAGCGATGGTAGTGATCGTAAAATTATCGTGATGTTTATGACAATTGTGATGAAAGTGATCATAGTAGTGGTGATGGTGGTGGTAGTTGTGACAGCATGATGGTCGTGGTGGTAATGGCAGCAATGATGGTAGTGGTAGTGGTAGTGGTAGCAGTGGCATGGTGGTGATGGTGCAGCATGGTAGTGATAATAGTGGTGGTGATGGTGGTGGTAACAGTAGTAATAATTATAGTGGCATGATGGTAATGGTGGCAAATACGATAGTGGTGGTGGTGGTAGCAGTGGCGGTGACAGTGTTGTAATGGTGGTAGTTATAGTGATAGCAGTGGTGGTGGGGGTGGTGGTAATGAGAAGTTAATAATAATATATATCAATACTTATATTTGGTACTTATAAATTCAGTCAAAATTAAATAAGTTTCATATAATTTATAATTTTCTTAAATTTTAACATATGTTCTAAACAAAAACTTAAAATTTTAAATAATATTAATTATATTATCAAATAATTTTAATTGATTATTCATTTTTGAGTGTTGAATTATGTTATCAACAGCTCTCGTCCCCCTTTTGCTTTATCGATTGTTCTCTTTCCATAAACTGTCTGCACGTTGTTTTTCCAAAACCCTTCTGTTTTTCAAACACGACTTCGACGATCTTCTCCGCCCTCGAAGACCATCCCGCGAACACAACTCTGCCCTCGACTTCGACTCAAGTTATGTCTCATTCTCTCTCTCTCTGTGCAACTTGTTTCTTTCCCTTTCTCCATCTCTATTTTATGAAACCCTAGACTGAAATCCCTTTTTGTTAACCTTATTTCCTTTCTCGATTTTTGTTTCTCCTTCTTCGAAACTGCCCTTTTACCTTTGTGAACTCACTGGGTTGGTTTCTAAAATTAGGAAAATATGATATGATATGATATGAATAGTTTTAGGTTTTTTATATTTGTTTGATTTGATAGTTGTTTTGATTCCATATATATATACTAGGGATAACCCGTGCCTGAAGGCACGGTCAATAATTTTTCCGGTACCACACGTGCTACGAAATTCAATTAATAAATCAATTTAAAATGATATATCACTCTAGTTTAATACTTCACAAATAAGAAGTTGAAATTGCTTCTACACAGTAAATTGGCAAAAACATTTAGCGCAATCATCCTATCTAACTAAAAAATAATAATTAATCATCCAGCGTTTCTAATACGGATCAGCGACCTGCAACAAAAGCACTCGCTTAAATTTGCTTTAAAAACCCAATAGCTATGAGGAATCAACAAAATGAGAAATCAACAAAATGATTCTTCAAAAGCAACTCTAATTTGACAACAAAATGAACTCAAATAATTTTTCAAAATAATAAAAATGATTAAGAACAATAAAAAAATGCATGAATAGCTTAATATAATATTATTGAATCAAATGATTTCATGGTTTCAATTTGAACAATACCAAAAAAATGCAGCAAAACCATGTTTAAGAGTGATAATTGCATGTTTCACAATTTTTTGCAATGGGACTAAAGGCTTGGTTTGATTTGGTTTGGCTTGGTTTGGACATTGTCATAGCAACAAATACTCTTCTTTCAATTTGTTTTGTAATTAATCCCCTTCTTTCAGCACAAAATTCATGTACTTCTCTAATAGCTCTGAATATACCAGTGATAAGCATAATTCTGACCCTATCATTGGCTGAAACACATATGAAGAATAGTATTGAGCAAAGATTCTAAACATGAATGTAAGAGAGAAGTTTACATAGGTTTTACATAGTGAAACCTAACAATAAAATGATAACTCTTGTATAGAAGTCTTCCTAGTTTAACCAGGGAGCAAATTTCAATAGCAGCTAAATTATGAATTAGGCAAACCTCTCCAAACACTTTGATCTACATAATGAATTACTACAGTGAAGCAAACATAGAACACGCATTGATAAACTCGCCATTTTTCCAATTATCTAAGCTCTGTAAATAGATCAAATAATAAAAAATAAATTAAAAAGCCCTAAAAAAACACAAACTATTCATTGCAAAATTCACGAAAAAATCAAAAATTTGTGTCATCACTACTACTATATAATTCCAAAACACAAAATCTTTAATCTTTGAAAGACATGATGAGGCCACAATTTTATATTCCCAACAATGCATGAAGCAACACATGACAAATAAATTGAGGAAAAAAAAAAACAGAGATGATATGAAACACATAGTTTGTATTGGCCACAACAAACACTAAAACTAATTTGGAAGGAAAAAATGAATCTGAACAATAATCCCGCAAGCAAAAATCAGTTTTTTACTTTGATATAAAGGACCAATCATCACTTCACAAATAAAATCAAATGTTGCACATAGAAACAAAATGAAGATTCGATCTAAGTTTGAATGAGACATGAGAAATTGCATTTTTACTCATAAAGACTTGAAAACAATATTTAAGTGATAGCTATCATAAAAAAGAATCTCATGGATGACTAAATTAGTGCATCAAATCTTTAGTTATTGTATGGATATTACTCAGTACAACTGTATCAAATCATTCTCCCATTTTTTCAAATTTATTGTATTTTGTCTTCTACAAAACGAATTGCCTCCCTAAACATTAGAGTTTTCAAGTGCTTTATGTGGTTCAGGCCATCCCCAAACCCATCCAGAGAATAAAAAAATTACCAAGATAAAATGTGGGAAAGTGAACGACAACATAGCTAAAACCAGTTAATAAAGATATTCAATCTTCTGACTGTACACCTAAATTGAGACTTGAAGCAGCAAAGGAGCTATACATAACCATAAAGAAAAGGACAATTAAAATACAACTAAATTATGTACAAAGCACAATCCCAAAGACAGAAACCCTCAACGAAATTCACAAAAAATTTCCATTATCGTCACTTGCAAAGAGGTTGTGAGTGTGTGTGTGTGTGTGTGAGAGAGAGAAAGAGAGAGAGAGAGAGAGAGAGAGAGAGAGAGAGAGAGAGATAGTAAACTAAGTAGAGCTCTTTCCGTTCTTCAAACACTCCTTGGCGTTGCATTGGACCCCATCTCTTGATCATACTTAGATTGATCACTAGTTGATGCCTCATTAGAATTCTCAATGGTTGGTTGGTCCTCGAACAAGTGTTCCATGATCAAAACTAGACTCTCTCTTTGTTCTTGTCAAAATGATATAGCAATACTGGCTTTTAAAGACCCTTGTTGAGAACCAAATAGATGCAAAGAAGATGAAAATTTAGAAAAATTGTACATTTTTTTCTTGCATCACCTAGAAAATATATACATATACTAGGGATAACCCGTGCCTGAAGGCATGATCAATAATTTTTCCGGTACCACACGTGCTACGAAATTCAATTAATAAATCAATTTAAAATGATATATCACTCTAGTTTAATACTTCACAAATAAGAAGTTGAAATTGCTTCTACACAGTAAATTGGCAAAAACATTTAGCGCAATCATCCTATCTAACTAAAAAATAATAATTAATCATCCAGCGTTTCTAATACGGATCAGCGACCTGCAACAAAAGCACTCGCTTAAATTTGCTTTAAAAACCCAATAGCTATGAGGAATCAACAAAATGAGAAATCAACAAAATGATTCTTCAAAAGCAACTCTAATTTGACAACAAAATGAACTCAAATAATTTTTCAAAATAATAAAAATGATTAAGAACAATAAAAAAATGCATGAATAGCTTAATATAATATTATTGAATCAAATGATTTCATGGTTTCAATTTGAACAATACCAAAAAAATGCAGCAAAACCATGTTTAAGAGTGATAATTGCATGTTTCACAATTTTTTGCAATGGGACTAAAGGCTTGGTTTGATTTGGTTTGGCTTGGTTTGGACAATGTCATAGCAACAAATACTCTTCTTTCAATTTGTTTTGTAATTAATCCCCTTCTTTCAGCACAAAATTCATGTACTTCTCTAATAGCTCTGAATATACCAGTGATAAGCATAATTCTGACCCTATCATTGGCTGAAACACATATGAAGAATAGTATTGAGCAAAGATTCTAAACATGAATGTAAGAGAGAAGTTTACATAGGTTTTACATAGTGAAACCTAACAATAAAATGATAACTCTTGTATAGAAGTCTTCCTAGTTTAACCAGGGAGCAAATTTCAATAGCAGCTAAATTATGAATTAGGCAAACCTCTCCAAACACTTTGATCTACATAATGAATTACTACAGTGAAGCAAACATAGAACACGCATTGATAAACTCGCCATTTTTCCAATTATCTAAGCTCTGTAAATAGATCAAATAATAAAAAATAAATTAAAAAGCCCTAAAAAAACACAAACTATTCATTGCAAAATTCACGAAAAAATCAAAAATTTGTGTCATCACTACTACTATATAATTCCAAAACACAAAATCTTTAATCTTTGAAAGACATGATGAGGCCACAATTTTATATTCCCAACAATGCATGAAGCAACACATGACAAATAAATTGAGGAAAACAAAAAGAGCGGCACTCACACAACCCCGCTTGAGCGGCCAATTCCATGCTCGAGCGTCCAACCCTGCACAGGAAATACTGGATGGGTGCAATTCCCGCTCGAGCGCCAAAACTCCCGCTCGAGCGGACAGGTCAAAATCTGGGCAACTAGTTTTGGTTTCTAAACTCAACCAACCTGTAACAAACCTGCCCAACACATCCTATAACTCAAATACGAAGTAAAAGGATGTAAACAAGATAATAATCAACTACCAACATCCACGGACACATGTCCGGATCACTGTACAACAAGGGTAAAATCCGGGATCGCTATATATACATAAAAACATCAAATTTATCAAATGCCCCATCAACACCCTTGTTTTGTTATATAGATTTATTGAATTAGCAAAGACTTCAATGGAGATCTAATCAATTAACTTGGGCAATAAACATAAAATTACTAAACCATGTGGACAAAGGAGAACTACTCATCTTAAATTGATAACAGATTGTGAAACTTTCACGCAAGCAATAACCAATGCATCTATCTTTCATTGAAGACTCAGAACACTTTTCCTTTTTGAATCAAACACAAAAGTATCTGAAAAATATAGAATAAAAAATCAATTTGAACCTATGAAACCCAAGAAAATTGCCTTTTTTTTCAAAGAGTAGTGAAATTTATTTGGATTTATGCATGTAGCATTTGCCATAATCATTATTTTTTGCACTCACTACCTAATTATAAAGCACACAATAATTACACATCATCCAAAACCTAATAAAAAAAAGAAAGGAACATTAATTTTTTACAAAAATTCAATAGTACTCATTTTGGAGGAAGAGAAGCATGACAATCAACACCCTTGATTTGTGCCCTGTTATGCAGAAGAAAAAATCAAATTTGCATGTGTTATGTTTCTGCCCTGTTATGCCATTTTGTGGCTTTTTTTCTTTTTAATGATTCTTGAGCATGTGTTTGACACCAAACGCCCCCCAACACAGATTTATAATTAAAAATCATATTTAACACCATCAATAGATACAATAGCTTTGGAAAAAAGAAAAAAGAAAAAAAAAAAAAACTCAAATAGCATTAACAATATACTTCATAACAAAAAATTAAAATCCCTTCACTGAATAATAACCAAAAAACTCAAAATTAGTCATCAAAATAAAATAGAAAAAAATGAATTATACCAGCAACAATGAATCTATGACAGATTGAAAGAAACTGACCATATTTATAGTGATGCATCTAAAAGTAACAAATAATAGACACACAATACAACAAAAAATAAAAGCTAATCGAGAAAGTAGATATAGAGACATACCTTGACACATATAGCGGAGATATAAATGGAGAGAGAAGACAATTGAGATGGTTTCTTTCCTTACAATGGTTACTCTTTTTCTTAGGCAATAATTAAAATAAACACAACAGAAAACACAATAACCAAGCCAGTTATCAACAATACAAAAAAAAATTATTATAAACTCAAGGACACATCAGCAGCTCTACAACAATCTCCAAAATCCCAAAGTTAGTTTCACAATAGATCTAAAACAATATATCTACACAATGCTGATAATAAATGTAAAAATAAATAAATTAGAAACGCACAGGGCAAACACATTATGTGGAACCACAACTCATAACCAAAACACAAAATTTCAATTAAATGGAACTCAATAAATTAGATCGTTACCTCTATAGCGCAGTGGGTTCTACAGTAGGTTGAGTCCAAAAGAGGAATAGTTGACCCTCATATCTAACTAAGGGGAGAAAGGGAGTGTTTTTCTGCCTAAAGATATGATCATACCCGTAAGGAGAGAACGCATATAACAATAATAATATATATATAAAAAAAGAGCAGGTAGTTGCTAGAAATAATTCCAAAGAACTATTTACCTGTTTCCCTGACCTCTGACATATATCCAAAGCCTTAAGAGCATCATGTCGTTGCATTTCAAAGAACTGTCACATTACATGTTATCAAATATCCATGATTTGCTGAAAACAAAACTACTCATTCAAAAATCCAAAGCCACATTCTACCTTGTCGACCAAATTTACGACACCATCACTGATAGCATTGTAGATTTTAATGCTTTCAGAAGCAACCTATTGAAAAAAGTAAGGACAGTCAGGTCAAAAGAATTCTATTTGAAAAGTTACTTCAATAACACTCCGTTGGGATCGTGGGTGAGAAAGACAGGAAATGATTGTGTTTTCTTACTATCATACTCAGATGGGTATGAAGGCAATGCATGTGAGATGGATATGAAAGACTTATTTTTCTTCCTTGGAATTTTAATGGGCAATCTCACTATTATAAATTTTTTATAACTAATCAGCTTGTTTCTCACCAATCTCACTCACCACTTTTGATGAGAAATGAAATAGGCAAAATAAGAGAGTTCTCACTCTCATCATTTCTTATCATTTCTCACCAAATCACCCCATCCAAACAGAGTGCAAATCCATGGACAAAGCAGGGGGAAAATATATAAACTCCACTCACCATAGAGAGTGCTAATTGAATCACAAAATTATGAACCGTTGCTCCTGTAGCTGCCCAAAAGTTTCATTAAGAGGCCATATTTGAAAGCTAGACAGCATTATGTTTGATTCAGTTGAGTGAAGCAAAAAAAAGTTACCTGGCAACCAAGAACACGAAATAGAAGCTGCTGTAATGCTGGCAACTGCTCAAGCAATTCCGAAGTGTCCAAACCTTTAGTTCTCTGCACCACAATTTACATAATAATATTCTAAGTGACCAAATCTTTATTTCAGTTAGATCAAAATTTTTTACATAATAATAAAATCAATCAAAATTTGAGTGTTCACATAACACTTTTCTGGCTGCAACAGAAACAGAACCCCTCAAAAAAGATTGAAGTTCCAAATGCAATTTCAAAGGTGCCATATTTAAATGAAATTATAAAACCAAATTTATGTTGTCAAAGCAAAATTTTGAAAAATTCAAATGGCAAAAGGATGGCCAGCAAAAAGTACAATTTCTTACAGGACGCTCACTCTCAACATCATATTTCAATACACTGAAGGAAGAAAATCTGACCTGTTGAAACCTGAAATTTAAGAAAATTTGAAAATCTCTGTTGTAATAGGTTGAAATCTGAAAATCTGAAAATGAAGAAAATCTGAAAATCCTCTGCACTACTCCTCACACAATCCCCGCTCAACACCTTCGCCGGAGGCCCAAAAAACACCATTGTCGCAGCATTAAAAAGGCTGAAAAAAGCACACGAAACACCCATCTCCGTCGCAAGTCCCGACAGCCAGTGAGAGGCGTAATCAGAGATAATCCAATCTGGGTTCGGGCTAATTTTCTCGAGAAAATCCGAGAGTGGTTGTTTAAGAAAATCGAAGGCGATTTTGAGGAGCTGAGCTTGGTGGTGTGGTGCGTCCATGGAGGATTCGGCGTTGGGTGGTAAGTTGAGGATGGCGGGGAAGGGGAGGGGGATGAAGGTGATGAGAGGGGAGAGGCGGAGAGGGATTTGGGGGAGGCGGCGGAGGTTTCCGTCGGTGGAGATGAAGGAGATGCGGTGGCCCTTGGTGGCTAAGGTGGTGGAGAGGTGGAGGAATGGGATGAGGTGACCCATGGCTAACCACGGGAACTTCTTCTTCATCATTAATATCAACTCTGTTTTCCATTTGAGGATAGGGAAAATGGAGGACTTAAAGAAGATGTTGGGTGATTAGCGTGAGATGGAATACTTACCAAGAATTATATATTGAGAACCCTTATGAGATTTTGATGAGAAGTGAAAACCCAATAAGTATATTGAGCATTAGAGAGAGAAATGGACCTGATTCGAGGAGATCTTCAGTGTAGAGAGAGAGATGGGTTTGAAGAGAGAAATAGTGAAATGGGTTTGAAGAGAGAGATGGTGAAATGGCTGAAATGTGTTTGAAATGGGTTTCAAAATTGAAGGGTATATCCAACGGTGAAGAGAAACACTAAAATGGGTTTGAAGAGAGAGACGACGAAAAGGCTGAAATGTGTTTGAAATGAGTTTCAAAGTTGAAGTATATATCCAACGGTAAAGGTAAAAGGATACAACCTTTAACTTAATCTCAGCCTTTCAATCTCATTTCCACCTAAGATGTCCCATCTGATTTGAAAAACAGAGCTTTCTTAACCATTGATATATATTTGGGATTGATCTTAGCCATTGGATCAAAATGTATCTCACATACATTTTGATATATTTTTTAAAAAACTTTGTGCCTTATTATATAGATATATATATATTTGAAATTTGGCTTGAGTGTGTGAAATATGATATGTGGATAATTGAATTTTGTGCTCATGTAACGATATGAGATTGCAATTTTGTATTTGTTTATTGAAATCTGTTTATGTTTCAAACAATTACTCTTGTGGTGGCTTGATTTTCTTATGAGAAAGAAAATTAAAGTGGTTTGGGATGTATAGCAATTTTTTGGGAACTGTGGAAAGTGAGAAATGAATGGTTGTTTAATGATGGACATCCGATTGGATCAAGTTTCAAGAAAGAATTATTTCAAATGTGCCTATATGATTTAAATCCAACAAACATTTGAAAGACTTCTCTGTGAATGACTTTATGTTCCATTTTTAGAGTATTAAGGATTGTCTTTGAAGATATATAGGATAGGAGAACAGAGAATGATTAGGTTATAGCATTGGATGGTGTTGGGGGTAATATTATTCAATATACACATAATATAATATCCTCAATTCCTTGAATATTGTTAACAGAATTCTTAAATGTTTACATTTTTCTCTCTCTCTCTTTGCTCAATCGATTAAAAATCACAATTTTTACTTAATCAATATGAAATAATGATATTAATAATAACTAATTAAATGACACCACTAAATTAATTGTGATTATTGAATCTTCCTTATATTCTAATGGATTGTACAATCAATGGTGATTGTTTAAAACCCCTTTGATTTACAATGGCTACTAGTCGATTGTACAATCAATTATGGTCTTTCAACCCAATAGATTTTGCAATCAATTATGATTTTTCATTCACTCTTTCATGCCAATCGAATATACAATGGCTTGTGCTATAATGACAAAATTTAGGATAGTGTTATGATATTTGTGTTATATGCTATACCAATTGAGTACACAAGTTTTTGAAATTTTAAAAGTCCTCATGTTTTGTTAATGTTGTAATGATTTTTGAAACCTATTGGATGACCTGCTTAGGCCATTTCCAATGTTTAACCAAATCTATCCCCAAATTTAAATTTTGTGAAAAAGTACACTTTTTTGGTTTTCAATAGTTTCATCAAAACTGTATCAAATTGAGAACATCCCAAATCTTTCACCAAACTGAGGAATTGGGCCAGTTTTTACCATTTTACTGTGCGTGTACGTTGGGGGTGGGACCCACCGGATGACTGGCTGGACGTCCGGCCGATTGTCTCCTTAGTCATCTGACTTACTGAACAATTTCCAGAACATAGCCATGGTTTAGACTACGAACTTGCTTGCAAAGTTGTTTGCTTTTTGTGGCACCAAGACGAAATTCAATACCAATATTGATGCATGTATAGTAGAGGCAAATGCATTGCATGTAGATTTAAATTTGTACCAAAATTAGCCGTTCATTTAGTAGGGTGCAATTCCAATAAGGTTACCGTTGGTTTTGTAGAGGATTTGACAAAGTTACCGTTGTTGTGGTCTATAAAATAAGACTCTACCAGTTTTTTAATTTTACAATATCATTACAATTTCTCTTTTCTTTGTCATTGTTAACTTCAAGCTTCACTTTTTGTTTCATTTGTCTTCTCATTGTATGATCTTCAGTCTATATTATTTCTTAAATTTTTTACTTGTTTATTTAATTTTTTTTTTTGTTTCTTTTATAATATATTTCATTGTGTGTTGGATGTTGTATCCTATTGAATTTTTTAAACTTGTTTATTTGTACAAATTTTATCTTAAAACTATGAAAGATTTTGAAATGTTTAAGGAATCACAAACTTCAGAGTAGAACACTGATGTTACTTTTATTTTAGAAACTTCTCGTGTTTCTCGTGGTAAAGCGTTCACTATTATAAAAGATAAAACTTTATATAGATATTGGTTGGCCGTCTCTTAAGATCCCATTGCTGGTAATAGTCAGACCATGGTAATATTCTGAGAACGAGTACTCGTTTATTTTAGTTCACAATTGAATGGTGAATCAAATCGAAACCGTATTTCTTTGTCTCACCATTGGTTTGTCATGCAAAAGGCAATTAATAAATTATGTAATTTTTTTGAGCAAATCCAATTGAGGCAATAAAGTGGAGCAACTTAGGTAGACATGATAATTCTTATTTCTATTATTAAATATCAATTTTTTAAGTTCTTAGCCTACTTTTTATCGAAATGTTTGTAATTTTAATTTTTTAGGTCGCTAAAGTTAAACGCATGTATTATGCAATACAGAAAAAACACTTTACATTTGATACAAGTTAGGATATTTTGCGCCAAAGTTGTAAGTGAGATGAAATTAGAATATAACCCAAAAAAGCCAAGTCAGAACCTTACCCATTTTTGAATCCAACAACTGAAGGTGAGTCTTTTCAACCCAACAACAATATTGAGGACGACCAACAACCGACTTATACATCAACATGACCAATTGGTATTAAGGCTGCGAAAGAAAAGTTGAAGAATCAAACAATTCACAATGTTAGATTTGATGAAATGGCTGCCAACTAAACTAAAATTGTTGAAGTGTTTTCAACTATGTTTACTAAAACTGTTGAGCGAGATGAACAAAAGGCGATAAAATGTGAACAGAATGCTACATAATGTCGAAGAAGGGCCAATGATAGGGAAAAACAACTAAAAATATTATCTATGATGGATGAAAAAGAACAACGAAATGAGGATCATAAAATAATGTCAATGGATATGGCCAATTTAAATCTTATGCAAAGGGCCTACTACGAAGAGTTTTAACGGCAAATCTTATTTCGATCAGCAAATAAATTTTCTTGACTGTTTGATGAAGACCATGATTTCAATTGAATGATTTGCAGTGTATTTCTGTATTGCATTTTAAGGATTAATTTGTGGAACTTACTTTATGTGCCTCCTCCCTCTTTTCTCTACTTGTCTCTAAATTGTTGCTTCTCATCTATATTTTCCTTTTCATTTGAAGATGTTATCATACTTGTACTTTTCAATTCAGTAATGGTGACACCTAAAGACATCAAATCTATTTTAACTCAACAATTGAATATGCTTCTTTTTCTTTTTCTTCTTCTTCTTCTTCTTCTTCTTCTTCTTCTTCTTCTTCTGCTTTTATATTTTATAGTCAAATCTATTTTTATTACATATATGTTGATGGTGGGTTAAAAATTTGAGAAATAACATATGAATGGTCTTTTATGAGCACCAAGTGTATTGGTTTTATTACTTGTATCTATCAAATTACTATTGGTTTTATGTTTGGTTAACCAATACTCACCAACCTATCTCTATTTTGTATTCCAACACCAACTGTATTGGTTTTAACTACATCCATCAATAAAATATCAAACCACATACGAGCTCTTCATCCAAAAAAAAAAAATAAAAAAATGTACTACTAGTACAAACTAACAAAAATATAAACAGAGATATTACTAGTACATCCATAAAAAAAAAAAAAAAGAGTAGTACAACAAACACAAAAATGAAAAAACAAAATGTAGTAGTACATTTTCAAAAAAACCAAAAACCAC